TATGTCTCGTCGGACAGCAAATCTACCAAAGACCCATTTTTAAAGCAGAGTCAATGACTTAACTGCCAACAGCTTTAAATGGCTCACAAGTTTATTACCAAATATGGCTGGCTGACTAGTTTACAGTCTGCTGCCGAGGGTGGGGCCTTGTGTGCAACCAGTCAACTCTCCTGTGTCTGCTCTCAGGGAACCAAGAGTATTGCTGGAGACTGATCTCCACTCTCTCACCCTCCCCTTTCTAAGGAGGATTAGCCCTCTGCCGCCGCCGCCTCTTACAAAATGTCTATGAATCAAAGGGACCCAAAGATGGGAGTCCGTTCTCAGTTCCTCACAGCCTTGCCTTATTTTGCCCAAGGTGACCTATTCCTCCCAGTGTGTGGCACAAATATACCAATCCACTTAAGAGACCTAGAGGAGCTCCAGCCCTGCCATGAAAAAGGGCCTCCTTGGAGTCCAACTGTGTAGTAAGAAACCTTTCTACTCATCTATTCCCACACTTGCAGAATGAGGATGAGATCCTTTTCTTACATCAGTTTTCTGTGTTAGCCATTAAGCTCTTTGGGTACAATTCTCTACAAATCATGAGGGTAAACAACTGGGTGGCATCTCCTGACACCCTGGCTGTCAACCGCTTAGCTTTCTGGGAGGATGAGCAGGTCACAGAGGAATCGTCTATGTTGTATTTGGAACTAACTAAACCACCCCCAGAGACCAAGACCCGAAGGCACATTGCTTATCTCTGACAAGGAAAGTTTACAGATTACACAGAACAAACTGGCAATGGGTGATTATTGGCACTAACACAGGTTACTCCTTAGCTGTATATGCAACATCCCAGCTTCACACCACATGACATTAGACTGCTCACAAACAGCTGACTCTAAATTTAAGTTATCTTAAAAACAAAGCCCTTTGGGGCTGGAGAGATGGCTCAGAAGTTAAGGGCACTGGCTGCTCTTCCAGAGGACCTGAGAGTGGCTCACAACCATCTTTAGTGGGATCAGATACCCTCTTCTAGTATGCAGGCAGGCGTACATGCAGACAGTACCTGAATACATAAAATAAATCTTAGAAAAATGTTTTTCTTCATAACTGGAAAAGACCTTTGATTTACAAACAGGAATTAAAGGATGTAACATATTTGCCTTTTACTGAAGCTGGCTGGTATAAAATATATCAGCTTCCATACATGTTATTTTTAGAAGTAGACCACCTCTCAAAAGACAGAAGCATAAAACATGCACACATAGAAATTGGACATGCAAATCAGAGGTCCAACAGGAGTAAATCATTCTTGCTTTAAATGAGTCTTCCAAGCCCTTGTAGATGGCCACGACATGAAGAGCTCCAAAGCACCTCAGCACCTCAGCATCACAAACAGTTTGACCATGGTTTTGAAGGTCCAAGATCAGACATATCCAATTAATAATGGTTATTTTTGTTTGCAGTCCTGCTCCCCAAACCTGGTGGTTGAATCCAGGGTCTCATGCATGGCAGACAAACATTTCACCCAAGCTGGAACTCCAGACCCAACAGTTGTTTTTGTTTTTTGAAATCACCTTTGATCTTTCCCAATTTCCTGCTGAGTAACAGTTAAGATGCTTAATCCTGGGATTCCCTCCATTTAAACAGGAAGACACAGCTATATGTGGTGCCAAAGGCCTTTAATCCCAATCCTCTAAAAGATGGTTATGTCCAAACCTTGACATGTAGGCACTGTTTTAGAAGGCCATGTTGGTATTCTGGCCCTGGGATCAAACCCAGGCATACTAAACAGGTGCTGCCACCAACCTAACACACCCTCAAGCTCCAAAGTTCATTCTTATCGAGAGTAAATAATCTTATAGGTTAAAAAAAAATCACTAAAAGAATATTTCAGTTGAAATAAATACCTGTGGTTTTAAATTAACAAGTGCAGCAGTCATGATGGTGTACACCTGCAATCCAAGCACTTGAGAGGCCAAGGCATGATGACTCCTGCTGCATTTGAGGCCAGCCAGGACTATACAACAAGACCCTGTCTCAAAAACCAAAACTGGGGGTCGGGGGAGGTAACAGGAAGAGAACGACAGAAGAAAAGAAAATAGGCAAAGGTAAATCATAAGCAAAGACAAAGTGGGCAAAGACAGTAACGTTACTTTAGGGGCATGCCTCATCCATCCTCCTACCTGTACTAAGAAAAGTAAGCCTGCTTTTAGTTTTGTTTGTTTTTCAAGAGGGTTTTCTCTGGTTGTAACCCTGGCTGTCCTGGAACTCAAGAGATCTGCCTGCTTCTGCCTCCCAAGTGCTGGGACTGAAGGCGTGCAGTGCACCACTACTGCCCGGCAGAGCCTGCTCTTCTACACATCCCTTCTGACTACAAGCTTTTGGCAGAACCAGGTGTAGGCACACCTCTGAATCAGTGCTGCAGCAGTCTGGGAAACAAGCTCATCAGGACTCCACCCTGATGCTAGTGTGTGAAGGACCCAACACTTGACTGCCATTTGCTAAAGACACTTTTTATAGATTCTCAACAGATTCAGCCAGACACCAACACAATTGTTTCATTCTTTCTTTTTTGAAAGTGTGACTTCTTTCTTTTTAAAGGTACATTTATTATTATTTTATGTGTATGAGTATTTTGCCTACCTGCGCGTCCGTGCACCACATGCATGCAGTATCTGCAGAAGCTAAAAGGCGGCGTCAGATCCCCTGGACCTGAAGTTACTAGTTGTGAACCGCCATGTGGACACTGGGCTTTGAATGCATCCTCTGGAAGAGCAGCCATCCCTCCAGCCCCAGGATCATTTTTCTTAATGTAGGCCCATAAAATATGAGGAAAAGTCTGTATTCAAAAGCTGAAATATGCTACAAAGGCATTGGGAGTTGGGAAACCCTTGTCATGATCAAAACTCTACCAAGAGGGTAAAAATAAACTTTACAGTGTATGCACAAGGTGGTGACCCAGAGTAGCTTCCTGTAGACTTTGACAAGCTGAAGAATTAGCGAGACAAGAATATAATGGGTCAAGACGAAACACCAGGGGCACTGCTAGGAACCAGTGGACGCTCCTGGCACCAAGTGTCTTTGCCTAGTTCTTTTTGGCATTTCTGCTTGACTCCTTCCCTCATCGATCTGATTCCCAACCTTTGCGCTGGCAGCCCACTCTGTTGTCCTTTAGGCTCTGGGCAGATGCTGGGAGTGTGTGTGCTCGTTTTCTGTCCTTCAGTTAAGAATCTGCTGAATGAGCTAGCAATTCAAGAACTGGGTTATCTCAGCTAGACTTCGATGGTTAAAACCTTGCCTGTCTTATTAGAATTATATGCATTTCCTTATAAATGGGTTTGAAAGGACTGTATGTCTATTAATTGCTCATGATACACAAAAATACATTAGTTTTTGAAAAGTCCCCTTTAGCTTTCTAAAAGGTTAGAGATGATGAGGATCTACTCCAGGGTAAAACTTAAAGATCTTTTAAAAGGCAAATGTAAATAAATAAATACCTAAGAGATAAGGTGGGCTTGGGGAAGAGACAGGCAGCAGCAAAGTCAAGTGAGCACACACAGGGTACTGTCCAGTGTTCTAAATAACAGAGGATCGACATTTCAAACCAAGAAGGAGAATTTCAAAATGAGAGGTGGTTTGCAGAAACTTTCTATTAGAAAGAGCAAGACACCCACATAAAATGCTCACTGCTGGACCAAAAGCTCTGCTTACTTTACTAGGCTGTGTGCAGAAACTTGGCACTTAGACAAACCATGAGTGTGACAGGAGGGACAAAGCTCTCCAATGTGGTGGCAAAACACTGCAAATTACTAGTTTTATGAACATTAATCCTTGCCATTAACAATGGCAATCCTTAGCATTAACATATACTAACAGGGAATAAATACCAAACTCATCCTGAAGAATGGCCACTCATACAGAAAACCACATTGGCAAACATGGGTGAACCATTCACATTTCACACCAAACTATTAAAATAAAGCATATGGATTTAGGCTTTTTGCCATTTTCAGTACAAGTAGCTTTGAGTATTCTTAATCAAAGAGAGAATTTTTGCTTCTATTTCTTTTTTTTGTTTTGTTTTGTTTTTTCGAGACAGGGTTTCTCTGTGTAGCTTTGGAGCCTATCCTGGCAGCTTCTATTTCTAATGTTAACAAATATAGAAAATATTCACGACAGTTTCTTCAGAAACCAAAGAGTCTCGTTTCTGGACAGAGACTCCGGGCAAGTGGACCAGCTTTACACTTAACTTACTATCAGGGCTCATTCTCCAGGCATGCTTTGCTTACATCATACCACTGTCTCATCTGTCAGTGCCCCACACTGCTACCTGACCAGGAACATCTCTGCTTATCAGTCTTTGAGAAGAACTTAAGTCAGACACATCATCAAAGCACATAGTAGTCATGCTGGGTGTTTAAAGGAAACCTTAGTGACTAATTTACTTACTTTGGAAACATTTTCCAAGAATGACAACAACTCTGGTCACAGGAAGGAGATTCCAAGCTCTCTCGGGTGGAAGAAAGATCTCAACCTCTTTCTAATAGGGATCTTCTTCCAAAGACTTGAAAACTGGTATTTTTCCCTCAGTTTTCCTATGTATCTTAAATGTTTCCCAAAACACGAGAGGCACTTTTATTAAGTGTAGCATCTACAACTCTAATCACAAGGTAACATTTGCTAAACAAAGTAATAACACTAGCTTTTAACAGGCATTATTTACAAGGATTTTCCCCTTTAATATAAAAAAGCATAACTACAGCAGTCCAATGTACAAATACAAAAAAAGTTATCATACTAAAAAAAAATGTACCATAATACTGTACATACAAAAACTGTTCAACAGAATGATTTAAATATATCTGTTCTTCTCTGGATCTGGAAGACACAACGTAAAGTTCTGCAACTGTATTATTGCTGAGAACATGTGCCTGGAACACTGTGTTTCCCTCTCCCCACTCATCACAGCTCCACCTTCAGAGTCCCCTGAGTTTGGATCACGAGCCAACAGCATCCCTGAAGATAACCAGAGCCAAATGTTTACTCAATGGAAGTCATTATTCAGCGAGTCGCTGCTTACCATAAACTATGAAAACCCAAGGTTTAAGCCCAACCAAGATTAAATCCAGACGGAGGTCTTCCCATCCCCTGATTTGCTACTAATACTGCTTTTGTTGGACCCCGATTTGGACCCCACTTTGGCCTTCTTTTCCCGAGGACCATGGGGGTTATTTTGGTGATGGTAGGCCTGGATTGCTAGATCCAAGCGTTCCTGAGCCATCCTGATCTCCCGTTGCAGAGTCTCCAGATCAGCCGGGAGATGCTCCTCATGGCTGCCGTACTGCTGTTCCTGGGCGATATTGGCTTTGTTTTGCTTGTAGGCAATCTTAGCGTTGGACAACTCGGTGTACTGGATTTGATCTGGTTTGACAGCAATGTTATAGCCAGGGGGAGCAGATGGTGTATTCCAAGTGAAAGGATAATTATAAGCACCCGGATCGTCAAGCTCCCTCCTTTTACTGTTCAGTGAGTCTCGAATGGTCCCAAACCCTAAATGAAGCATCTCCCAAATGTTAAGCAGTAGGCAGAGGCCTGTAACACCATACATTATCAGGAGGAAGATGGTCTTTTCAGTGGGTCTAGAAATAAAGCAGTCTATCTTGTGAGGACAAGGAAGTCTGCTGCACACATAAAATGGGTGGACTTGAAAACCATACAGGAAATACTGTCCTATCAGAAAGCCCACCTCAAACACAGTCCTGGCCAGCAGCTGCAACACATAGATTTTCATGAGCCCATCCTCCCGAATTCGCCTTCTGCCATCATGCTTAGGTTTTGGTTGGCTCTGCTCTTTATTTTCTTTCTCACTCTCTAACTCCATTTCTGGATACATCATAGGATCCTCTTCATGGTCCTCTTCCGTTTCTTCCAGAGCCCGGTGCTGCTTCCAACGCATGGCATAGGGTTTGCTCCGAGCTGCCTTCTTGTCTGCTTCACCATGCTCCATTTTGGCAATCTTATGAATAGCATATCCCAGGTACATCACAGAGGGAGTTGCAACCAGGATGATCTGGAACACCCAGAAGCGCACGTGGGAGAGTGGTGCGAAGGCATCATAGCAGACGTTCTCACATCCCGGCTGCTCTGTGTTGCACACAAATTTGCTTTGTTCATCATAGTAGATAGACTCTCCTCCCACAGCAGTCAGGACAATTCGAAAGACAATCAGCACAGTGAGCCAGATCTTCCCTACAAATGTTGAATGGTTGTGGATCTCCTCTAGCAGGCGAGTCAGGAAGCTCCAACTCATGGTGATGGAATTGGTTTGCCCTGGTATATGGAAAAGTACCAAGTAGGGGGAAATCAACAAATGCTAAAAATAGTTTCCTATTTTGGTGCCTGACCCCAACAAATAATCAAACCTTAACACTGTAAATTTTAATTCATAGTATTTCTAGGGACTCGCAGTAGAACAAATGTTAGAATATAATCACACCTCACCCTAACAGCTTTAGGAGAGACAATACACCTGACTCCATGTCTGGACATAGGTCTTTTTGATTTCATATTTTATTGAGATTTATTTCTCAGATGCAGTATTGTGTTTTTTTACATATATCAGTGTGTTATGGGACATCTAGACATTATACACTTCTGGTTCAGCCACAGAGTTGCCACTGAGAACATAAAAGGGACCCTTGGGCTGGACTCCATTGTGAAGAGGCAATTTATTAGAAAGCTTAAATTTTAGACCAGTTAACAAAAATGTTAAAGTAATTAAAGAAGTCAGGAGTGGTGGCACATGCCTTTAATCCCAATACTTGAGAGGCAGAGGCAGGTGGATCTCTGTGAATTCATAGCTAGCCTGGTCTACAAAATTTGTTCTATGACAGCCAGAGATACATAGTGAGACCCTCCCTGTCTCAAAAAAATTTTTCCAAAGTAATTACAGAATTATAGCTGTCAATAACTGGCAATGATGAACACTAACAGAGAAAGGAATCAAGGAATAATTTCTGCTAGGCCACACAACAGAGCAAACCCTGGTTTTACTTTAAAAAGCCCACAACTGAAGCCCTTATAACAAATATCATCTTTAAAAAAAAGATATATTTATTATGTATATAGTATTCAGTATTCGTGTATGCCTCCAGGCCAGAAGAGAGCACCAGATTTCATTACGGATGGTTGTGAGCCACCAGGTGGGTGCTAGGAAATGAACTCAGGACAATGATAGATATAAAAAAAAAAAGTATGCTAAACTGATCTATGAGAGCAGCAAATCCAACTGGTAGGCAGACCCAGGAAAAAGCAGCATATTTTCAGTTTTTTGAGACAAGGTCTCATTATGTAGCTCTGGCTGTCCTGGAACTCAGCATGTAGACCAGGCTGGCCTCAAACTCACCTTCCCAGTGCTGGAATTGAAGGCATGCACCACCATTCTGGGCTCTTATTTTTGATTTGTTTTGTTCTTCAGAGGATCAAATGTTGCCTAGGCTAACCTTTGAACTCAAGATCTTCCCACCTCAGCCTTAGAATGCTGGGATTACAGGTGTTTGCCACCATACCCATCTTTAAAAACAGCATTTTAAAGGAAAATTTTATTCCAAGATAGTCACATCTATGCCTAGAATCTGTCACATGCTGAACCCCTAATATAGCATTTGACGAAAAGCCCACCTGCATTTTCAACCCTTCTTTCCTCTCCCACTGCACTTGAAGAGTATGGTAATCATCACCAAACTTACCTGTTATCCAGAACTTCTGTCACCCAAAACCTTCTTTCAGAAATGGTATTTTGTTTGCTACTTTCCCAAATTCTCTCTGGAAGGGAAAAAGAAAAGGGCAGGTCATCAGCTTCCTCCCACAGAAAACAATGAATCACTAATGTGTCATTTTCAGGAAGAAACAAAGTTTTCTGTGTGCTACAGGAGTCACTCAGAATGAGATGGAAACAGGCTTGACTGTGAACACCACTCTTGTCTCCTCTCAAAATAAGTGACAGGAGAAATTAACAGTGACCTCAAAGTTTTTAACTCATGAGGCTCTATGAAAACCTGATGGGGGCTGGAGAGATAATGACTCAGTGGTTAAGAGCACTGGCTGTTCTTTCAGAGGACCTGGGTTCAATTCTTAGCACCCAACATGGCAGCTCACAACTGTCTGTAACTCTAGTTCCAGGGGATCCAATGCAATGTCCACTTTTGGCCTCTGCAGGTACCAGGAGTGTGTATAGTACACATATACACCTAAGGCAAAATGAATAAAATTAATTCAAAACTAAGAAAACCTAATGGGAAAATGAGTAATTTGTGAAAATTAAAAAATGCTGGGCATGGTGGCTTATAACTTTAATCCCAGCATTTGGAAGAGGGAGGTAGAGGCAGGCAGATCCCTTAGAATTCCAGGCCAACCAGGGTTAAAAGTGAAACCGGCTAAAAACAAACAAAAACACACCACCAATGAACTTTGACAACTACAGCAGAAAAAAAAAAAAAAAAAAAAAAAAAAAAAAAAAAAAAGCAGCATAGCAAGGTTAAAGCAGGCTACCAACATCCCTGTCTCTGTTGCAGCCAACACTTCTCACTAGGATTGGAGCAGCCAAGTAGGAGCAAGCTGTTCAGCTGAAACACCCAACAGCTGGCTCAGTCACTGGAACACCAGTCTCCACAGGAAGTGATTTACAGATCCAATGGCTCACAAAGTCAGAGAAAGAAAACACCTGGACTGTGATTAAAACCAAAACAAAGTGAGCTTGGAAAACAAAACTATGTGAATTTAAGGCCGGTCGGTCCAGGGTCCAGACAGGTTTCCACAGCAAGCTCCAGGTTAGCTGGCTACATAGTAAGACTGTGTAGACAACAAAATAATCAACAACAGAGCAAACCAATGTAGGAGAATTTAGTGTCCACTGTCAAGCTCTGTAACTCTCAAATGTCACATATGGCACCAACTTTGTTCATTACTATCATTTTAACAAATAAATTTAAGACAATTGCTGAGGGTGGGCCTATTGGCCCATAACCTTTAATCTCAGCACCCAGGAGGCAGAGGCAGGCAGATCTCCCAGAGTTTGAGGTCAGCCTGGTTTATGTAGTGTAGTCAGGCCTGCAAAGTGAGACACGGTCTCAAAAACAAAAATCCCTGAATGTTCATGGTAATTTAACCAGAACTAAGGGTTTTGTTGTTTAAAGATAAAGGAAAAAGTTGAGTGGTGGTGGCACATGCCTTTTGATCCCGGCACTCAGGAGGCAGAGGCAGACCAGCCTGATCTGCATAGTGAGTTCTAGGACAGCCAGGACTGCTACACAGAGAAACCCTATTTCGAAAAACATAACAAAAAAAGATATAGGGGAAAAACTTAAAAGAAAAAAAGCTAAAATTATTTGTCAAAATTTGTACATGAAGAGCTGACACACAAAGCCAAACTAGTGGAATGGCCTATTATCTCTGAACTCAGGAGACCGGGCAGGATGATAAAGAGTTCAGGACTGGGGGGATGGAGAGATGGTGCAGTGGTTTAGACAGGCGCTGCTTCCACAGAGGGCTCAGGTTTAATTTTGCAGTCTCTATATAGTGGCTCACAATCATCTGCAACTTCAGTTCCAAGGGAAATCAACACCCTCTTCTGGCCTCCCCTCCCCCCACCATGCATACATGCTGTGCACACACATATAAGCACACAAAACACTTATCCATATAAAACAAACAACACACAAAAAGAGTCCAGAACTAGAACCCCGCATGCTTTTAATCCCAGCACTTGGGAGGCAGAAGTAGGTGGGATCTATAAATTCTTCACGATGAGTTCCAGGACAGCCTGGGCTGCATAGAGGGACCCTGCCTGAAAAAGAACGTGCAGGGGTGATTAGGACTAGCCTGGGCTATACAGGAAACCCTCGAAGAACCAACAGGCACATGGTACTAAAGTTATGAGCCAGCCTGCTGCCTGCCTCCTTGCATCTCACTCAATAAACAGTTTTAAAAAAAGAGAGAGAGAGAATGTGACACAAAAAGATGTCACCACACATCTTCGAGTTGACTCAGCTCATCATTTCTTCTGTCACTGAACACACGAGTCATAAAACCACATAAAGGGCTGGATATGGTGGCTCAAGCCTAGAGCCCCAGCACTTAGGAAGCAGAAGCAGGCAGGTCAGGTATTCAAGGCTGGCCTAGGCTACGCAGACCCTGCCTCCAAAACAAAAACGTAATCCCACACACAACAATATACAATCTTCACAATGGTGTACACCCATAAATTCTTTAGATTTTCCCAAAACATCACATTTAAAGCATTTCCCCAAAACCTAAAATTCAATTTGTTCCCAATAAGCCAAAGTGAAGAAATGTTGCTAATTACTTACAGACTCTTTTTTGCTTGTTTTTTGAGACAGGGTCTTACTATACAACTTTGGAAATTAAAGTGTGAGCCACCATTGCTTGACCAAATTTATTTTTTTTTTAATTTTTCTTTTTCCTTCCCAAGACAGGGTTTCTTTTGTGTAGTTTTGGCTGTCCTGGCACTTGCTCTGCAGACCAGGCTGGCCTCAAACTCACAGAGATCTGCCTGCCTCTGCCTCTGCCTCTGCCTCTGCCTCCCCAGTGCTGGGACTAAAAGTGTGTGCCAACACTGCCCAGCAAAATTTCAGGTTATTTTAAAACATTTGTTTTTCTTATTTTTAACTATGTGTGTGTTAGCACAAGCATGTGTGGTGCCCGTTGAAGACAAACACAGTCCGACCTCCCTAGAGCGGGAGTGACAGAGGGGCTGGGAACCTGAAAGAACAGCACCCTGTTAACTGCTGAGCAATTCTCCAGCCCCCTCACCCAGCTCTTTATATGGGTACTCACGTCTTCATGTTTGTGACAAGGGCTTTTACCACATGAGCCATCTCTGCAGCCTAACAAATAGCCTCAAGGGTTTACAGCTGTCAACAATTTCCTACAAGTTCTGTAATAATAACCCCACTTTCTGGACTTTGAAGGTCCTCCCATGGAGGGCCTCACTATCCCTGGGGAGGAGTTGGGGGGGTTGGGGGAAAACATGGGAGGATGGGAGGGCAAGGGAATGGGGGAATGGATATGTAAATATGAGTAGTAATTAAAGAATTTTAAAAAATAACCCAACTTTCTTTGGTGGAAGAAACTGTAAGGTACAAAGCAGCCACTTTAACACATCCAGAATTGAGTCTTGGGAACTAGTTAAACTGAAAGCTTAGAAATGCTGAACCAGGGCTGGAAAGATGGCTCAGAGGTTAAGAGCACTGACTGCTCTTCCAGAGGTCCTGAGTTCAATACCCAGCAACCA